CCATTGAGAAGGCAAGCAATTTGACATAGATTATACATGGGCAGTCATGAAAAACATATCTCCATATTAGCCATGTTGTGAAGGAGAAAACGGACCCCACGGCCCTTCCCCCTCCCTCTCCCCAAAGAAAACCCTCAACTAAAACCCAAGCAAAATAAAGTAAAAAAAAAAAAAGTTTGCTTCTGTTGGCATTCAGATTCCATCAGGTCTTTGTCTGGAGATGGAGAGCATTTTTCATCATAAGCTCTTCAGGACTGTCTTGGATCACTACATTGCTGACAGGAGCTAAGTCCTTCACAGTTGATCATCATACAATATTGCTGTTACTGTGTACATTGTTCTCCTGGTTCTGCTCACTTCACTTTGCATCAGGTCATGTAGGTCCTTCCAGGTGTTTCTGAGAACATCTTGCTCACCATTTCTTACAGTATAACTGTATTCCATCACAATCATATACCACAACTTGTTCAGCCATTCCTCAATTGATGGGCATTCCCTCAACTTCCAATTCTTTGCCACCACAAAAAGAGCTGCAATAAACATCTTTGTACATATAAGTCCTTTTCTCTTTCCTTTTTAAAAAATCTCTTTGGGATACACATCTAGTACGGTATTGCTGGGTCAAAGGGTATGTACAGTTTCATAGCCCTTTCAGCATATGGACTTGATAACTTCCAACTTCTCTTCCAACTTTAAACCTAGGATTCTATAATCCAGAGCTCCTGTAGGAGAAAAGCTATTCGCCAGAAATCAAGAGTGGGCAAAGAAGGTCCAGGAAGAAAGAAACCCTGAACTGTAATGATATTCACATAGAATTGAGGACTGAGGCAATTACATTAGTCTACGTAATAAAGAGGGCTTGAAAGAAGCTTTACTCTAGCCTTCAGAGGAAGAGCTGAAGACTCAAGTTTCAGGCAGAGAGTCAATGATTAAAAAGACAAATTTACATGGAATCCTCAGCTTTTCCCTAGATCTGGCACTAATTTCATGACCTAATGACAAACAAGCCAAGAGAGGCCTCATCTGGCATCCAGAGTCAGTGATGTGATCCACACAAGCTGCCCTTCTTCTCAAATGGGCTAAGATTTCATTCCTTCTTGGTAGAGAGGATAGAATTCTGGGTGCTGGATGGGGGTGGCACAGGTAGGTGTGGTTGCTGTCTGGGGCAGGTTTTCCTGACTTCATGACAAAAAGAGGTATTTTAGGGGCAGCTGGGTAACAACAACATTAACAATAATAATAGTCCATGCAAATAACTAACATTTCTACAGCACGTCAGAGTTTGCAAATTACTGTACACATATTACCTCATTTGATCCTCACAAGCTCAGCAAGGGAGGGACTATTATTTACTCCTTTTTCAGATGATAAAACTGAGGCCCAGAGTAATCCGTGCATGGACGATGAAAAACAAGGATAAACTGCTTCCACTCTAATACTGGGGGACACTACGTGTGTGAACCCTGGAATCATCAAGGATCGTTTTTCTTGTTGTTCGGCCACTTTTGGTCACGTCTGAGTCTTCATGACCCCATCTGGGGTTCTCTTGGCAGAGATACTGGAGAGGATTGCCATGTCCTTCTCCAGCTCATTTTATAGATGAGGAAACAGGGCAAACAGGGTTAAGTGACTTGCCCAGGGTCACACAGCTAGGATCTGAGACTGGATTTGAACTCATGCCCTCCTGACTCCAGGGCTGGCACTTTATCTACTGCCCAATAGCTGCCCTAAGCAAGAGCTGGGAGTGGTTCTCTTCTATTTTGATGACCTTAAGAGACCCATGGAAAGAGGAATACACTGGGGAAGGGGGAGGAATGGTAGAGAAAACTATCTCACATAATCAGAGTGTGCAACTAAGCATCTCTACACACGAGAAGAAGGGGGTGGGAGGAAGCAGCTGACAGTACAACCTCATTCTCCTCTGGATGGAATAACACACACACACACACATACACACACACACACACACAACATATACATACAAACAGTTGAGTACAAAACTACATCTCACTCAATGGGGAAATAGGAGGGAAAGGGGAGAAGAAAGGGGAGAAGGCAATTAGAGGGAAGGTAGATTAATTAAATTAATTAGAGGGGCAGCTAGGTGGTACAGTGGACAGAACGTGGGCCCGGAGTCATGAATACTTATCTTTGTGAGTTCAAATCCAGCCCTAGACACTTATTAGCTGTGTGACCCTGGGCAAGTCACTTAACCTTTTTTGCCTGTGTTTCCTCACCTGTAAAATGAGCTGGAGAAGGAAATGGCAAATCACTCCAGTATCTCTGCCAAGAAAACCCCAAATGGGGTCACAAAGAGTCAGATACAACTGAAATGACTGAACAACAACAACAGATTAAGGGAAAGATTAGTTCTAAGCAAAACACACTTTAAAAAAGGATGTACAAAAATATTTATAGCTCTTTTTAAGATGGCAAAGTGGGAATCTGAGGGGAGGCACATATTGAGGAATGGCTGAACAAATTATGACATATAAAGGTCATGGAAAATCCCTGCAATGTAAGAAATGATGGAGACAGTTACAGAGAAACCTGGGGAAACTTATCTGAACTAACATAGATAAAATGAAAAGAATCAGAAAAAAATGTATACAATGACAATATGGTCAAGACAGACAACTTTGAAAAACTCAGGAATAGTGATCAGTGTAATCACCAAGGGAGGACCAATGATGAAACAAGCTACCCACCTTGGGAAAGAAAGGTGGTGTACTCAGAGTGCAGAATGAGGGGTGTCTGTGTGTGTGTGTGTGTGTGTGTGTGTGTGT